AGCTGTGGGTGTTCTGCATGATTAACAAAGACAAATATCATCTTTTACTAAGGCTTATTCCCATCTAGGCAATTGGATTTAGTCCGTAACAGAGAAAATCAAATACAGGATTAAGAAATGTCATTTTTACTCAAATAGAAGCTTGTCAACATATGGAATTTGTGTAGAAATATATTCAAATGGGCATTTGTAGGATGTTTGAACGTGGAACAGTATTTTTTTTTCAGTTGGATGTATTACTCCTCAGAGAAAGTAGCTAATAGAGTTGGCAGAAGACATGGAGAGTGCAACTAGTCACCAAAGAGTTCTGTTTAATAAAAGTACCTTGGCCTCAATCCTTCTCAATGTTACTTTATTCTGGGGTTCTTCAAAGGAACTCAGAACTGTCCCTCTCTCTGACTTGCAGTATTTCTGAGAGGCAGGCAAAGCATCAGGGATTCTCAAAATAAAGCTAGGTTATTATCACACACCAGGTGTGGCCCATATTTGAAGTCAGAAGTTTGGTGAAACAAGAAACACATGTAGACACAAAAAAAGAAATACATATATATATACATATATAAATAAAACACATTGTAAACAGACAGTTCAGTGTCCGTACTCTGAATATGATCATTCAATTATTAAATTGGTCTACCAAGAAAATGGTACCTACCTTGAGACACAAAACTTCCAAGTATCTTAGTTTTACTTCAAAGTATATTTGTTGCCTAAGGCTCTGCTACGGGCATGCCCAGATCTTCTGTAGCTTTTTGGCCCATCAAAGACCCAGTTCTGATCAGGACACAGAAATTAAGATGTTCTTTTTTACTTATATATCCTAAGGTTTCATTGAGCTTCTTGAATTGGCAGATATATATGGCTGCCATTTTTGCCTCCTATTAYACACCATAGCCAAACAACAAAGAGGAGAAATGAGAGAGCAGTTCCACTCCTCCTGCCTGAACCCACTGCAACATATTAGCTAGTGTTAAAGTGATCAGGACAGGGGCTGCTGTTGGGTGGAAATGTTCTTCATATTTCTTTCTACACACACACAAGTAATAATAATTAAAAAAAATACAATTCATGGGACTAAATAAGACACCTAACTTGAAATACAGAATCTCTTGCTCTAGTCAATAAGGAAAAAATGGAACTGTGTGTTTTAACCACTACAGTGTTTTGCACGTTGTTTTATCATTTTGGTATAGGTTTATGCCAGTCAGAAGTGGGTTCTCCCATTTTTCTAGACTATCTTTAAACCTAATGGGTGAAAGACTCTTCTGAGAAGAGATGCAAGTTTGAATTCCATYGAGATTAACAGAGGGAAGCATATTTGGGTGTCCAGGTGCTGAGCAAGTTTGCTAATAAGAAGGCTAAGGAAAAAGGAGGACGGAAAAGAGGTGTGGGCAGCACCATCTGCTTCTGTTTTTAAACAAAACGGAGAGATACTCTGTTCCAGTCTCCAAGGAAAGGACAAAAGGGTCTACTTCAGAGCGATTATTTCATTTCGCCAGATGACAAAGATTCCTATATCATTTTGTGTAATTCAAACCAACTTCTGTGTTTCCCAAGAGGTCAGCCCAAGCACAACCTCAGCACACTACTACCTATATCCCATTGAGAGGCAGCTGCCTTGCAAGTAGGGCCACTTTTGCTTTGCTTTTCAGACATTCCCCTCCTTGACGTAAACATCTGCTGTCCTTAGTTATGACAGAGGAAAAGCAGCTGTTACACACCAAACCACATAAATCAGCAGCATTTAAGCTGCCCGTGCTTCTAACCAGTTGGAAAACAGCAGCAAGGGCTGCAGCAAGTTCCTTGCTATCACATGCCCAACTGCTGCTCAGCAGTAGATATTCTCATATTTCTCTCTACTTGCTTCAACCAGACGAAGAGATAAACGGAATGGTCTGCCTCTAACCATGGCCAGGGTAATGCTCRTCATTACACTCAAAACACCAGAATATGAAGGTTTAAATAAAGAGCTGCTGTGTGCCATAAAATGGTTACTCGCTATTCACCAATAGTTAATCAACTTAACTCTTAGTTGTATAATTAGCTCTACARTTAGTTAATAAAGGGTCAGTGTTGTTTCATTAGTACCCTTGACAGAGTAATGCAGCTGCTCCTGCAAGAAAATATTCCTTGGAAGGCAACGTAATGAAGTTGGAGTTTCTGCTTATTCAGCTACAAGCTACCAAAAGGCCTTAAAAAACACAGGCTCTTGCCAGAGCCCACCTGAAATCAGTGGCTTTTGTTCAAAGAGCGTGAAATAACCCCAGATCCACTGTGAGGAGCGTTAATCTCGGTTGTTGGCATTCCACAGGTATTCGCAGCAAGCACATGCCCAAGAATTCAGAGCACATTTTACTCTATACCAAGATATCCCTAGAAATTGTATTTAAATCCCAGCTAATAAATGAAGTACAGTTTCCAGGAGGGAGGAGAAGGAGCTCCATTTTCACACATGATACCAAACTGATTTAAAATAAATAAATAAATAAAATAAATAAAGCAAAAAACAAGACAATATACTCCCTCACCAAGTATCTAACAGGCAGCACAAAAGCATGAAGAGGGGGCTAATCTGAATTACTTAAATAATCTGATTTTAACTAGTATGTTGTTTTGAGACATATTATGCTCCCTTACACATCAATTATTCTACTACATTTCTCATTTTGTGCCTTTAGAGTCTGATAAACTCATGTGGTTCACTACATTCCCCCCACTCCCTGCTTCAGTACCATTCTTTTAATTTCTTCTGTGTCCCTTGATAAGTAAAAGAAACTTTAATCTTATCAAGCCCTTAAAAGCGTTAASCTCCCTTTGCATTTGCACACTATTTTTTTCCTTTATTTATCTGAAATACTCTTCTATCTTCAGTCAACTGTCCTTATCAGAAATGTGGTCATGATGCACATCCTTTTGAGTTGAACAAATCATGAGAAACGTCCTTCATACACACCTTTAACCTGATGGTATTAAGATTAACAATACACTGCAATTCATTGCTACCAGAAATAAACAAAACAATGAACAAAATGACTCCCAAAAAAAGTCAATCTCTTGTACTGAAGAAAAGATCCTCACAGCATTGTCAACCTAATTTATCATATTGCAGTTACAGAATCTGCCTGTTTTRAAAGCCTGTCTTCCATATTACAGATTTTAAGAAAGAGGGAATGAAACTTTCATTTGACTGGAACTTGATGATGCCTGGGTTGGTGGTTGTCCAAAAAACTAGCCTTTAGTAACAACTGATATCACCACCGGAGCTGAATCTACACACGTTTCATGACTACTTGAGATAAAATATTCCAAACAGTCTGTTCTTCTGTATCAAGCTATGACTAAGTGACCTAGCTTAACATATTACTATGAATCAGCTGAATGACAGTAACTATCTATGTTCATTTACAACTCACAGCAGTCATGGGATTACTTGGACTTAAGTTTCCTTCGTTAATTTTTTACCACATAGTGGATCACTTGGGAACATAGGTAACATCAATGTTACTCGAGACCTCAGTTACAGGACAGAACTGTTAGATAAGTTATCAGATAAAATCACAGTCACAAACCGTGATATATGAAATAGACCGTGAGCCTTCCAAAATCATCTCTAGTCTTCTGAACAAATACGACCAAAGGAAAGAGTGAGAAAAAGGAAAGCTCTCGACTCTCCTTCCATGCCATATCATTTCAGACTGTTGACTATGAAGACAGTAGTAGATTAATTAGGTTACTGATATTAGGTTTAATTTATTAAAATGGAGGTAAAGGAAGCAAATATCGTATTGTTCAGCTCCCTCAAATACAATGCTGAAGAGCTGCAGGGAGATAACATTGATTTCACTCATGAAACAGAACTTACGTTATGAAGCAACATATTGGGATATAGAGATCCTAGAAAACAGGGTAGTGTAATAACAGAGAGAAAGAAGAGGCAGCAGGGTCAATGCTGATGATCTGAGCATGTGCTAAACAGGTTGTCTCTCTCTCTCTCTCTCTCTTTTTTTTTTTTTTTTTNTTTTTTTTTTTTTTTTTTAGAGAGAGCATAAGGAGGACAACACCATATGCTATATTTCAAAATTTTAGAGTAATATTTCTGGAGATTTAGATAGCATATATTCCTTTTCTGAAAATAATGATAAATGAAAAGATGGAGATAATGAACGACACTGGAGAGAAAAATATCTCTTTCCTGAAGCTGTAGACTACACCTAAACAGCGAAAGGGTCTTGTGATTGTAACACAATGCCTCACTCTCATGCTAACTTTAATCTTCTCAGAACAAACAAAATACTACCAAAACATAATGAAAACACACAGTTAAGGACAGATGACTTGAATTCCTTGCCAGATGCCTAGATCTCTGAGACTAGGCTGTGAATGTTACCCGCATTAGCTAAATTAACATACTTCTGCTCAGGCACGTCTTCTAAGTTTCACCAAAACAGAGATTTTCACCAAAACAGCAGTAGGTGTTAGAACCTTTTTTGATGATGATAGGAGATGCAGTGAAAGGCTCRAGAAAGGAGCTCAGAGGGAGTTCTTAAAAGACTTTCTCCATATGTTCACAACATAAGAGATGGTAACACCATTATGAAAATGTTACTCACCAGCTAGTAGAGTTTACACTGTCCATGTGTTTCTGGCTTCCTCTTAGATTATCATCAGGCACATTCAACTGGGTAGAGCTATATTAAGAAACACAGAGGATGATGTAATCAAAAAGCAATATGGAAAGTCAAAACATGCAAGTATACATTAAATTTCACAGTGAAAAACAACATTAATATTAAAAAGCCAAASAAAAAAACAAGATAGATGACCTATACAGAGTACAAGAGGAGGCTCTCCATAAGATAGTATATGYCCGTAGATAAGTATAAAGAGGTCAAAAACATCCACTGAGAGAAACAAAACTGGAATATTTAAACAGGTGTCAAAGAAATTCAGGAAACAGTGTACAAGTGCAATTYCACGGTTCTTTTCATGGTAGATGTCCTGGAGTTTGTGTATTTGCCAATATCAATGTCTCAAACTACACGATGAAGCAACTACAGAGTAAGAGACCTTGCTGGGGACATTGCTAAGTAGGGAGGCCGTTTGCATGAATTTGAAATGGAAACACTACAAAAGATATMAAGATGAAAGATTATGGAAAACTTGAAATTAAGCTTCCAAGGATGAAGAGAAGGACTTGTGCCATTTTTTTAAGAATGGTGACTTTATGACTGTGTTCAAATATGAAAATGAGGAAAAAAAGGCACAGACAGCAAAAAACACCATTTCACATGCCAGCTGGGTTAGAACAAATAAAAAAAARGGGGTATAAATTAAGAGAGTTGGGAAATAGAGGTTGTAGTATATCCATCACTGGAGACTTTTAAAGAATAGGCGAGACAAAAAGCTCTCTGGAACACTTCTTCCTGTGTCAAAAAGAGGGACTTTCTATCAGCTCTAGGAATGCCTGGAAAATAGAACTTAGAGTGTTTGTCCCTTGTACCAGTCATGCAAGCAAGAGCATTCCTGGATGTAATCTGAAAARGTGAAAGTTCTACACAAGCTTTCTACAGGACATGTTACATCAAGCTAGATCCTCTCACAGGTACTCACTGTTAAGGACAAGATTCAGAGAGGAGACATTTTCTCACTCTGCAACAGAACCACTGTACATTCACAAACGAGTTGCTTCATTTGCCTGCAAAATGAGAGAGATGCTCACCTCACTCATACAACAGGGAGATGGTTATGAAACTTATCTAATTCAAATCCGTAAGTAGTGTAAGATGATTAGACAGCAGGTGAAACACACAAAGTGTACATACATACATATGTGTAAGCGTACATACATTCTGTATGTAAAGCACATTCACACTTTCAGAAAACTAATCTTTAATATGGACATAGCAACAAGAACAGTTTGCACATTGTAAAAAAAGCTGTATATTTTAATATTAATGCAATAAGCCTATTTTCACAAATACATAGATATCATTATCAAGCATTCACGTGGTGGGAAGGTTGGGCAGGAGAGAGAGAGAGAGCAAAGCACCACTCCTAAATCTGCCAGGTGCCCTGCAGAGTGTAAAGAGGGGTGAGCTGAGGTCAGGGATTATTTACCCAAAAAGAAAAAAAAAAAAAAA